CTCCTTTTATTCCTTTGCAGTTTCTGATCTCTATGGCCTTTTCTGAGATGTAGATCCCAGAAATTACTGGTTTCTGCCTGAAGATGGGCATGGAACAGAGAATAGGTTACAAAGCCTTCTCAAGCTTTCCTCTATTTCTGGCATTCCTCAATGTTAAGATAGGCAGGCAGCCAAATGAGTAAAACACCTGCTGTTCCTTTAAAGGAGGTGACTGCTGACAGACATCATCTACCAACCCACTGGCCAATTTCTCTTGAAAGTTTACTGCTTGCCCAATCCACTGTGGATGTGGGAAATAGCTTATTCTCTTCTATGTTGCAGGTACCCATATGCATTAGAAAACATTTAACATTTCCTATTACTGCCAATCTTCATTTATGACTTGTGGTAACCAGGTCATCCAAACTTTGTTTTTGTTGTTTTATTACTTCCAGACACTACAGTCTAACTGAATGTGCTAAGTAAACTACATGCTTGTGAATAAATAACATTTCTGTCTTTCAAATGTATATTCAGAATCAATTTCCTGTAGATGTATTGAGCCACCCAAAAAAACCTGATTCTTTCATTCAGTGATTGAGAGTTATATACACATAGGTCTTAAATTCTGGACTTTGGGCAATTGAGGCAAAGGTAGTCTACAGAAATAGCAGCACAAATGAATGCTGTGTGCTGACAGAATCTGGATGTTTTAAAATTCTGGTTTCATGGGAGAAGGATTCCTCTTGAGAGGAATTTTAGTGTCATTAATGAATTAGTATTTCAGTATATGAAATCATCTCTATGAGGGGAGTTACTCTGAATAGCAACTTCTTAACAGTTGTAGCATTGCCAGTCTTAGTATGACTTTTGATGTGCCTGTCTATATATGATGTAATCCAGGGAGATTTAGCAGGCAAATAAATCCTTTTGATAGCTGCCTTCTTCCTGATCTCATTGCTTGTGTGACCTTAAACAGCAAAATAGGACAATTATCTATTCCTTAACCTCAAGCACTGAACACCTCTATAACAGTACATACCCCATTGATGTTTCACACTTACACTTTGGTTTATTGTAACTTATGGATGCTTCTTTTTGGGTGCTGTGGGTTTGTGATCATTGCTGATCTCATTGGAGCCAGCAGCAGTTACTATAAAGCAGGATATAAATTTGAAGTTAAAAGCATAAGCCAGAAGGGTGCATCCCATTGTCTCAAACTGCTACTGCAGCTGTGTTTAAGTAGGAAAAGCTACATTTTTTTTTAAATTGGTATATAAATAGCTCTTATATGGAGCATAAATAGAGACCAAGGTTTAGAAAATATTTCCTGTGTATTTGAACAAGATAAAGGATTGCTGCATTTATTTGGTGTTGGTCATCACTGACTGCCTTTCAGTTTGTGACAGTGGGGAATACTTTGTAGGGGCACATTTTCTGTCTGAAATAATACTGTCCTTTAGTGTACAGCTTCCATGGATTTGTTGTATTTTTTCCTTTTCTTTGGGAGCCAAGCACCATCCCTTTCCGATAGCATTTGCTCAGACACAGAACAACCTGAACTCTGGAGTTTTGCACACCACAGGTTCTCTCTCAGCTCTTTTCCCTTGCTGTTGATGCACTGTTTTGCCTTGCCAGACTTTTCCAGGAAGGCTCTAAGCAATTGAAGGATCCAGAAAAAACCCTCAAAACTCGTGTTTGCTGCTTGCTGTCAGTTTTGCTCTCATTATTGTTGTAGAGCAGGTAAAGAGAAGCTGCAGCTTCACTGGGACTGGCAATACTCCCACAGGCCAAGCTGTAAATAAGGGTTATAGCATGCTGCTGCTGGGCATTAAATAAGCAGATAAATTTCTCTTTGCTGTGGATTTATTCAAGGCAGATGTTTTTAGTGAGCTCTGGAAAGGTTTGGAGGAATATAAAACCTGCTGCAGTTCTGGAATTGATCCATGAGGATCAAAATCTGGTAACCAGTGATTTGTTTAAGGGTCCCTGACACTTTTATGGCAAGACCATGTATATCAGAGAGGGCTGGCTCAGTTTGAAACACATTCCAAACCCAAACCTGAAATAAATCCTTGCAATAGAGCAATTCTGTAAACTTCTGCTTTCCCATTATTTCATTTTTGACAAAAAATTAAAGGGGAAAAAAAAATCATAGTTTGGGAAGGGGATGACTCAACCTTTTGAAAGGAAATGGAATGCTCATTGTCTGTTTCTGTAATTTTTGATGTGGCATTTACTCAGTGTAGAGATGTGGATGAAGACAATAATACAGACAGAACAAGTATAAAATAAAGACACAAAGAAATGGAAAAATACTTGATGTAGCCTTAGCCATGTGGTACTGGAAGTACATACATGATGGTCTCCCAGACCTTGAAGGGTCAACTGAAAATGGCCTTGTGTGGTCAAAGAGGGACTTAAGAATATTGTAAAACAAAATCAAAAAGGAAGATGGGTATTTCCCATTGTTTTGACCTCAACTGTTCCCTGTTACAAGTGATGGAAAGTTAATGCTTGGGATTGGGTTGAACAATTCAATGAAATCACCAGAAGAAAACAATAAATATATTAGGTGACATGTAATTGATGACTTTCATTTTTAGCCCAGAATCTCAGCAGCTGTAAACAGATGTGACTGGACTAATGCTGGTAGAGAGTCTGGGATGTGAAGACAGAACCACTGAAAAGGTGCTTCTGTCTTCACATCAATTGAAGTGCTACTCTTCCATTTTACTGTACTGTAGATACTTGATGCATCAGTGTGAAAACGATTCTGCCTCAAATATTTTAAGTAAATCTTAATATCCAGTGAAGCAAAAATGAGAACTAGTAACTCCATTCTAATATACTCTCTGGCTTTGGGTAAATCACTTAATCTCTCTGTTGATTTCTTAATCTCAAATGAAAAGGCCATTGACAAATTAATGAAACAGTGAGAAACAGTTATTTGGTGCAAGTCACTTTCTGTGACAGTGAGCACATTATCAGCTACCTGTGGTTAGATTATTGTAACAATCTCATATTGCTGCCTCACAACTCCCCTTTTCTGAAAATGAAACGTGCTGAGAAAGATATTCCTTGGAGCCTGCACTCTGAGTAAGCACTAAATCAACATGCTGGAGTAGGGTGAGGGGCCTGGGATGAGAAGGAGCTGCTGTTTATCAGAAAGCCCTGGGAAAAGACATGGCCACAAAGAGCTTTAGAAAAATGCTGCGACATTTTTAAACAGAAATCAGCTCCCCATTGTGCAGGATCCCACTATTTGTACTTCATGGAACATGGCTTTTTCTTAATTAGACAGACTCAAAAAGAATTTGAGAAATCATAACAGAAGTGGAAAGTTTCTCCAGTTATTCAGCATATTCAGCTCTTGGCAAGTGTTAATGTCCATAATACTGAGTAAGTAGTGCCAGGGAGAAGAGGTCACCACATCACTGGCAAAATTAATTTGTCTCAACTGATATCCCAAGATTTAAAGGAAAGAGAAAAAAATCTGACAGCTGTAAATTAAGCTGCAGCAGATGAGAAACTCCATCTGGAGTGAGGAGAGATTCATTTAATCTGAATTAAAAATGAAAGGTTTTTAAAGAAGAGAGCCTAAGAATGGGCAAGGTTGGTTGGCTAAATATTCTAATTTGCAAAGTAGGTGCTGTGAAGTCAGAGAAAGCAGCTGAAATGAGACCTGGAAATTGAAAGGAGGAATTTGCCCAAACCACAACCAAGCCTTCTTCACTTCAAGGCAGATCATTAATACTTTGCTCACCTGGAGGTTGAAGGGACTTCCTGCTCAGTTGCCAAATTTTAATACGTAGTTCAGAAGACAATATTGCCTCTTTCCCAGTGAGCAAACACAGCCATGACTATTACTCATTCCATCTCATCTTGATTCACTCAGTTACTTCATGACTTGTAGGGAAAGGATCAAAGAGTCAGGAGATGGAGAGCTGACATGTCAGAGGGGGGATAGGAAAGGAGTACTGCAATCTGAGGTTGTTATGATGACTTGGCAAGCGTGCTAACAATTAACACATTCTAAAGTGACTCTCAAAGAGGATGGCATTTCTCACAAAGCAGAGGAAAAACCTTTGTCTGAGCAGCTTTTTATTTGGTGGAAACTGGTATATGTCTGCTTTTCCCATTTTTTTGCAAAAGAAAGTCACAGATCCTCATCAAGTTTCAAGAGCTCAATTGTAGATCAGTAACTCAGTTCTCAATACACCAGCTGAGGATCTGCCTGTAAATCTGAAGGCATCACTAATGCCACAGCAGGCAGAGATATACCAGTATGGTTGTTATTTAATAAGAGCAGGACTGGTTCATTTTGCTGATTTTTTTTTTTTCTTTTGGGTAGACCAGAAGTCTCTTTAAGTTGAGCTGTTCATTTTTGTGACTATGTGTAGGTGCTTATAGTCCTCTCCCCCCATAACATGAGAATAACCCTTAATGATGCTTTCTCAAATTTCAGCTCCTTATCTTCTACTTTTAAAGATCAAGACAGAATTTGGTATGTGTCTGCATTTTTTGCCTGCATATTGTCAAGAGCTACTATGTCTTAGCACATTTGAAAACTAGACGGCTGCATACAGATTTACATTATAAGCCAAACCCCTGGCAACCATGCTAGAAGTATTTGGTCTGATAGCCTTGCACTCTTGCATACTCAGAGGTGTTATAGCATTACTGCCCTTTTTTTTGAGCAGGAGAGACCCAGGTGTCAGGATTTTTCATTGGCACTCTCACTGTATTTTTGCAGAGAAACCATCCTAATGGGAAATTTTTCTGCATGAGTATCTATCTGCCTGACTAGTCTTATGATTTTAAGTTTGGCTTATCCAAGAGTTGTTTTTCATTTCATTATCTTCTGCCATTTGGCTTGCAAAGAATATGTCTTTAACAGACATATTAAAAAATATGTGTCATGAATTTTCCACTGCCTTTCTAAATGTCCAACATTTCTTCCTGGTATCATCATCTGTTAAGTTTACCTTCTTTCTCCACTCTCTCTCACGTCTTTCCAGGTCAGAGGCTACCCTGAGCCACAGATCACATGGTACAGAAATGGGCATCCTGTCCCAGAGGGAGACCATTATGTCGTGGACCGCAGCATCCGGGGAGTGTTCAGCTTGCTCATCAAAGGTGTGCAGGAAGGAGATGCTGGCAAATACACCTGTGAGGCTGCAAATGATGGTGGGATTCGTCAAGTGACCGTGGAACTGACAGTGGAAGGTCAGAACATTCTTACACTGTTGTTTTGGTGATTGTAGGTTAAGGAACAAGGTGTGCTAAACAGTCTGGTTAAAATCACAGCTGTACACACATGCCTTTTCATTGATGCAGGGGTAAGGTTCATTGACTGCATTTCACGGGTTAAGACATTGTGCAGGGAGCTACATGTCTACAAGTAGATAAAGTGTGAGTTCTGTTTCAGGTGTGGGTGATGATGTGCAGGTAACAAAAGTCCGTGGTTTAAAGACTTTGTTCTGAACTTTGTAATTTTCATGGAAGTCACCACTCAGGACAGAAACAGCTAAGCTGCATGCCTGGTTGTAATTGCATGCTTAATGTCACACAGGAAACAGCCAGGATCAAACCCAGGAATTCTTAAGAGCACATCTGCATATTAGATAGTTGCAAACTGCCAAATTTAAAATTTAGTGACACAAAGCCAGTGAAGGATTGAAATAAATTGTATTGCTTGTCCTCTTGCAATATTTGGCCATATCAGAGATCTATTGAATATCAAAACATCTCAGGTCACAACTTTGTATTGAATTCTTGATGAAAAGAAAAAAATCTGCAGCTGTTCTGAAACTATCAATATTTGGGTTTATTCAGAGTCAAAAACTCGTAATATACTCTGAGTACTCATGCATAGATCTGACATGATTGCTACTGCCTTCTGTTGTAAAAATTGTCTGAAGTATTTATTTTTCCCCTTTCTTTAAGTTGGAATAACTTTATGAATAACAATTTACATGGAGGTGGAGGATTTTTTTAAAGCCGTTTTTCTGTCAGTTTTTCTGACCTGGTTTTTGCTGCAGCTCAAAACAACTTCGGGGCACCACCCAATGACTGAATTTCTCAGACTGGAATAATTTTATGCTCTTTGTTCTAAAATCCCTTTATCCATCAAGGTAGCAAAGCACAGATTTATTTTTTTTTTCCCTGTTCTCCTCAAAGATAACCACGTGGGGCTGGCTGCTGCTTGACACGAGTGACTGCAACATGATGTGTTCTTTCCATCTGCATGTCTGTCGTGTCAGGCAGGGATGCGGGCTGTGGCGGGGCTGTAGCAGAGGTGTTTGTGCGGAGCCCCGGAGCTGCAGGTTGGATGCTGCGGCTCCGGGAGCCGCTGGGCTCGGTGCAGCAGGTGGCGCTGGGCTCCCGCAGCATCTCCTGTGCCATGGGCAGCGCGGCTTCTTTGGGCTGCCACAGGCCTGACAACCCCGCCAAGGAAACACCTCTCTCACCGTCCGAAAACCTCATGGTGGCTTAATTTGAAGTACCGCTGCACTGTAGAAATTAGACAGTGTTTCATTCAAAAAATAATTTTTTCGTGAATAATCTTCAGCGTTGTTAGAGCTGAGGCCGGGGGTTCGACAGCAACTCTGCCAAAGCTTGGTTTTGAAATTGGAGAGCCTAACTTTGAACTACAGATGACATAACCTTATACTGCAGGTGCTGAATTCCTCCTTTGTGTTTCTAATCTGGAGAAACGCGTATTTTGCATAGTCTTTATTATCTGTAATTCCCAATGGGCTTGACAAAACTTTCGACTTCCTGTCTTTCTGTCCTATGCTTACAGGAAACTCCTTGATGAAATACAGCCTGCCATCCAGTGCCAAAACCTCTGGGTAAGCAGTCTACTGGCTTGGATATTGTTTAACAGACACTTAAATATATTTTGGTAGGAAAACAAATAAAATTACTCTTTGTAAAAGTCTCCATTTACCCCAAGCAGAGTAGATACTGTGAGAGCAGCTGGCTGAGCAGAATGGTTGAGGCAGTCAGGAAGATGCACACCTACTGCTCTACAATATTGATGGAATTAATGGGGCTGAAAACAGATCATCCTGCTGATACCTAAATATTGCACCCTCTTCTGCTGTAATTTTGCACCCTTTTCTCTGCTCTCTGATATTCAAGAATCCTTCCCCACAACTTCCATGAGCTGACAGTCTCTTTTTTAAAGCCAGAGAGCAAATACTACTTTAAGAGTCATCAGTGAGAAATAAAAGCAACTGAAATCAGCATTCTGGCACATAGAATTTAAATATTTCTAAGTAACACAGTGTGTAAACTGTAGTCCAGAAGAAATTGTTCTGGTTTGGAGTAACTTACCAAGAACAGGTTGATGGGGTGATGTAAGCTGGCACACAAAAGCCAGCTTGTACTTTCTGCACTTCAGTAAGCATTTACAATTATGTGAATGTCACTGTTTTGAAAGCCTCAGGCCTAATTCTTCCAACAGCTGAATTAATTTCTTTATAAATAGTTTGATTTTAAGTAGAATTTTCTCTGACTTGTATCTCTGTCACTGAGTCTCTCTGGATGTAGGCAAGAATACATGTTCTGATTATGTCAGTGATTAGAATACAGATAGTTAAAACTGGAGGTTTTCATTTCATCATTGATAAGGACATTGTTTATATATTTTTAATTTAAAGATTAACAGATTACAGCAGTGAAAATGGTAGGTAAAACAGAGTAATCAGGAAGGCTTTTACATGATAAATTCTATGGACATACACACAGGATAAATAATCAAAAGAAGAAAGGACAGTTCAGGTTTCTGTTAAGTTCTGTTGTATAGTCAGACTTTACAAAGCACCATCCTAATCCATTGCATTGCACAGAGTTAGAGTTATTGTCCTCACTTTCCATGCTCCTGTGTTTTCCTCCTATTCAGTATTAATAATTCCATGTTAGGAGAGGGGAAAAGACAAGAAATAATACATTTCCATTTGTTCATGTCTAGGATCCAGCTGCAAATCTGCAGGCCAGCTAGATATGTATAGATATATAAGTACAGATTTACCAGCTAGAGGTGGTTACTAGAAGATTTCTTTAGTATTTATGTTCTTCTTTAGTGGTAGTATGAGGGAGATGACATTAAAAGCTATCAGATATTTAATTATATGATAAAGCAATTTTCATTTTAGCATGCTACAACCACACTTCTCTCAATACTTTTTCTGGTCCTCTTGTCCTTGTAAATCTTTTCATTATGGTATCATCTCTTACTTAGAAACCTCAAGCTGCCCATATGGCAACCACCTTGTCTTGGCAGCACCTTGGACTAAAGGGATGCGGTCTCTGTTAGTATCTGACACCTGGTAGAAATGGTGAGGTATTGACACGTCTTACTTGCATGTGGTAAAAGGACATCTGGAATAGAAGGCCTTGAAAATGGTTCAGTTTGCTTGAAATTAAATGTTAAAAAAAAAAAAAAGAAGAAATCACCATCTGCCATCTACTAATGTGTCTTTGTTGTACCAAGGCTTCAGAGCAAAGAGTGAGTGTGTTCCCTTTGACATTAACAGACCTGAAGTTGCACCTTTTTGATTTATTTTCATGCTATAATGCACTTGATGTTTTATGTTTTATGGTTGTGTAACTGTTTATGGTTTTGGACTGCAGTCACTGATGCCACTTTAGTTTCATCCCGTGTGTCATTTCCCAGCTGTGCCAGCCATGTAAGTAGAGCTGGGCATTTACACTTAACAGTGATTTACCTGGCACAGGTGTACTTCAGTTTTGTGTCCTCTTCATATTTGCTTTGAAAACATGGTAGCAAATGAGGTTACAAATAAAAGTTTTCCCCAGACCTAAAATATTTACCAGAACATATCAGAAATGTTGCAAAACCAAGGTGCTGACTCATAAATCAGAAATTACTGTGTCAATTGCACTCAAGAATGAAACAAATGACATGATAAAAACCTATGAATGGTAAACAAGTATGTACAAATAAACCCTTAGGAGGCAGCTAAAAAAAAGAAAATGGGGAAAACTAAATGCATACAGTGTTTCCTATCTTTAGGTTTGCCCAGCTCTGCTTATGAACAACAGAAATGGTCCCCAAGATCTGTGCTGTGTATGCCAGATGAGGGTGCATAGCATAACATGATTCAGTTGCATGAGGAGTCAAGAGCAGTCATCACCAGCATTTCTATTTCTTCCACGGCCAAGAAAAATACCATGCAACTACAGCCTGGGTTGCCATAAATGATATACCCTTGTTGGCAGACCACAGGTCTAAAATGCTTCCTGACATGTGCTCTAACCACAACAGCTTCCAGCTTCTCTGTAAAACCAGAATGTCAATTGCCTTTGCAGGGGAAGACTTGCTGTTCCATCTGTGGAGCAGAGGCCAAGCATCTGGGGAGAAAGTCCACCCAAGTTTGCTACCAAACCCAACAGAGTTGTTGTGCGTGAAGGCCAAACAGGCAAATTCTCATGTAAAATTACAGGACGACCTCAGCCTCAAGTAACTTGGTTTAAGGTATGACTTCCCCAAAGGTTTCTGTTTTCCTTGTCTTTTGAAATTTTGTAACCTTGAAAGGATGAAATGTGCATTGAAGTCTTAAGTCCCAGTGTCTCCTTTGAGCATACCCAAGATCTCCAAACGCATTTTTTTGTTTGTAAGGAGAGAGCTTTCAGGTGGTAATTAGCTATTTACACTGATTGGGGAATTTTTACTGAAGCTGTCAGTATTTTAGAGAACTATGGTTACTTTCTTTAATTTGGAAGACCAAATATATGACTGCTCTGGTGGCATCCTGCTCCCCTCCACCCTTCAACAGACAAATGTCTTATATATAATGAAGAGAAAAAAACCACAACTCTTACCAGTGCTTCTATTTTCTCTTGATATCTCCAGATTAGGGGGGGAAATAAAAAAATAAACACTCAGAAAACTTCTCAGAGAACAGAGAAATGTTTCCAAGTCATTGTCTGCTTTATTCCAGGCTTATCCTTGTTTGTAGTACAAGAATGTCAGGGTACATCCCCAAACACAGGCAGCCTCTTGCAGTGGAAGTGCTCACTGACATCTTAATCAGCTGGTGGCTCCACCTGGAGTCTGCCTCTCCTTCCAGCTGCCGTGGTGCTGTGGGACCTGCTGGCTCTCTGGGACTCTGCAGTGCAGCTGCTCCACCACAGCCTGCTTCCAGTCCCACCACACTCACTCAGGTTTTCCAGCTCTGTTGTGCAAAACAGGCTTTGTCACCCAGTTCTCTTTGTTCAGGGCTGTCTGGTAAATGAGAGGGAAGTAGGGACTACCAATCCAGCAGTTTGGATCTGCACTTTGGTGCAGGTCCTCCATACCTTCTTTGTAGTTTCCTGGAGGTTATATTATGTATTTTGCTATTGATGATCACCGTCTGTATCATGGAAATGAACTTATATATCTGCTGGACCACATCTGGCTACTGTAGAACCAATAGATGACTACCTTCCTTACATCAGGAAAGCTTTATCAACAAGTTAAAATAGCACTTTTCATAACTATTAAGCCTGTTTGTAAATACCTGACTCTTAGGATGGGAGAAGCTGTGGTGTCTGATAGCAAGGCACTCATTCTTAATGGCCGATGCTGAAGCAAAAACAGTGATTTGCACACAGATGAGGTATTGGTCAGTTGGTTTGTAGAATTGAAAGGCAAAGATTGTCATTGTGATTATCTAGTTTGTGTAACAGAGAGCACAGAACTACACACATTTCTTCCTGCCTCAAAGCTGTATCTTTGGATTTAACTCCAGTGTAGTTTTTTGAGGGATAGTGAACTACTCTCCAGATTGGAAGCTTTTGCTTAAAAGCATTTGACTTCCTGGAATGAACAGGAACATAAAACTGGTTTGAGCCTGCATACAATGAAAAGATTTTTTTCTAGGAATCTGGGTATAATAAGCAGGGAAAGGCCAAAACTAAACTGAGATGAGTAGGTGACAACATAGAGGAAAAAGGAAGCCCCCTGAAGATGTGAATTATAGAATTTTGGGCACAATTTATTGTTTACACCGTATGAGTAGTATTCATAGGAGGAATTCGGCTAAAGGATAGGAGAAAGCCATTTTGACCTAATGTTTTACTAAAAAATTCTTGCTCCCCTTCTCTTAGCAATAGCTACTGTCTCATGGTGCCTTGTGATGTTTGCAGGGTGATATTCAGTTACAGCAAAATGAGCGTTTCAATATGTACGAGAGAACAGGCATCCAGTTCTTGGAGATCCAAAACGTTCAGCTTGCTGATTCAGGAATTTACACGTGCACTGTGGTGAACAGCGCTGGGAAGGCATCAGTGTCTGCAGAGCTCACCGTTCAAGGTACAGCAAAGGGTTTGCAGGAGAGAGAAAAATGAGCCACAGACATTCTGCTAAAATGTCTCTGGTTGTGTTCTCGATAGGAACAAGAAACATTCACTTCTCCCCAGTATCTTCTCTCTCTCTCTCTCTCTCTCTCTCTCTCTCTCCCTCTGTTCATTACATGATGCTGTGGTACCTTGGAGCATGCTACAGCTGTAAACACTTGTAAACAAAAGGAAAAAAATGCAATCCAAGTGCTTTGTAACAGATTCCTTTAAAAACACTTTTTCACTTTTACTGTGACTTCCATGTTTTGAGCATTGATTTGATTTTCAGCAAATGGAACCTGGAACTTATCATTATAATCAGTAATTAATTTTGTATTTGTTGAGTTCTAGCACCAGATGCACATTTATACCAACTCTGTTATGGGGGGGAAAATTTTATCTATATTTCTAGAACCAGGAAAGTAAAGTGAAAGATGAAGATTCTAAATTATGAGAGAGATAAAAACACATCTTAGTAAGATTAAAATTCAGTCTTCTCAACTCCCAACCCTGCCTATTTCACTGCTTGTTAAGGAAACAAATGTCTTTGCATAAGTAGAATGTTGTATATATACATGCATTATCATATATAGCTGATTTTGCAGCTTGGTGCTTTTTAGGGTGCCCTTTTCATCAGCCTCAAAATCATACAGCCTTCAGCAAGCAAAGAGGAAGTTCATCAGTCAGTGGGTAAGCCATCACTGGACCCAATTAAATAATTAAATCCACAGCTGCTGGCTTCAGCTGCAGTCGTGAGGTCAGTGGGTTACATATGCACCCAGCAATGAGTTTTTGTTGCAAAACTTTTAGTTTTATATCAGTGCTGTCACTCTGTAAGGTATCAAGAATATAAATAACAAGTATATGTACATTTGGGATGCTCAAAGCCACAGCTAACATTTCTAGAAATTAAAGGTGTACTTTTTATCTATAAGTTCCAATCTGATGAAGCCCTTGTAGAAGAAGCTTCTACAGTTTGCCTGTTCAACAGAGGTTGTACAGAAAGGGCTGTTTCTTTCAATAAGCCTTTTATCTAAACAGAAAACTCGGTCCCTAATTGCTGTCCCTGAAGTGGTGAGCTTTTGGTTCTGTAATGGCTACATCTGCCTCGAGAGATGATGCAGAACTGGGGTCACAAAGTCAGCTGTGGTATATGTTTGCTTCAGATGCTGACCACATCTCTGAATAATCCATTCTTTCTTGGATTAGTGCAGGTCAGTAAAAAGGGCACTCTTGTGCAATGCTCTTGATTAGCTGGATGATTCCACTTACCTAACCACAATATAAAATATCTGATTCTTTCATTATCAATTAAATAAGGTTGTCAGAGTTGCTGCAAGATGTTAGCAGACATTCAAGTGGCTCAGAAGTACTACATGTTCTTTCAAAGACATGCAATCTCATATATAGATATTTTCATCCAATAGCTATATTTTTTTCCCAGAGTGGAAGGTGAAGAGGGAAGAGGAAATATTCTTTTAATATGCGGGGTTGCATGGTATTGTCTTGTCTGCAGTCAGTAGTTACAAAGCTTCCTTTTCTGCATTTATCCAGTCTTTTCACTTTTAATTTCTCTATTTCTGTTACTGTTTGACAGGTTTGTTGAAATGAGGTCAATGTGGTTGTTCTTTCTCTCTCTCACCTCAACATTTGTTTGTGTGTAAATAGATTCTTTTGGTCACTCTGAATGGCATGGCAAGTCCAAGCATTTAGATGTGGATTTTTGCTTGCAAAACACAGTGGAAATCAGGATATCATCCATCACATCCATCACATGATTTTGTCTTTTCCCTGAGGCAGAGACTCTGAAAGCATTTTTATGAAGTGCTTATTGATTGAAAAATTTGTTATCTTGCAAATTAATTATTGCATGTCTTTCTACTGTGGTTTCTAGTCTCACAGCTTACAGCAGCATAGGTGAAGCTTTGATCTGACCAGGAGAAAACAAATTGCATCCTGAAGACTTAATTAGGGGGTAATGGAGAGATGTGGTTGGTATTTGACCTAGAATGGGATTTCTCTCCTCACAACTATTTATTATCTCATGCTGCCCCCAAGAGAAACAAACACTGTCAAGGTTTTTGAAAATTCATGGAGGGTTACACATGAGGAGACTGACTGTGGGTCAGTATGTGCTCAGTTTGATCAGTGCAGCTGATGAGGCACCTTGGCAAATCAATACAGCTCAGCCGTGTTCCCAGATTTCCTGGTGCTGTTGCAAAGTGAAGAAATGTGATGCATTAGCTTTTGTGTTATTCATGTTAATCATGATAATTCTTGCTACACAGCAAATGGGGTGGTAAATGTTTACAGGTAGGTCCAGGTTTTGGGAGGCTTTATTCCTATTGACTTGGTTCTGTGTTTCAGCCAGAGGACAGCTGTTGTTTCACTGTGAGCATGCTCAGGTGTCAGACTGATTGATGGTTTTTCTTTATCTACCTCTGCAAAATCTGCAGAATTACCATAAGATTTGATAAGCTGCTTCCCAGCTGTAATCACTTCCATACTTCTCTCCTCCAGCACAGAGCTTTTGAGGTTTCCTGAACCTTTAGCTCTGCAGGTGCTGAACATGATGCAGCAATGTCTCAAAAGGGACCAAGACCTCTTTGTGTTACAGCTGAGCAGCTTCCTGTTGTCCGTATCAATTTCAGGTGTTAGACAATCATGACTTCAATGCATTGAAAACTTATGGAGTGAAGGTTCTTAAGTACATTTTTTGCTTAAAATCTTTCAAATTTTTGGAATTCTGCACAGTATTGTGTGTATAATTTACCTGTTTCTTCTTTTATATTTCAGATCCAGATAAGATGGACACATACACTCAGCCACCTTGGTATGTTGTTACTGGAGTACTTTCTCTGACTATTTAATTGGAGTGAGCTGACTTTGACATTTACTGCATGTGCTTTTTTCACAAAGTGATAAATTTTTTGAGGGTCAATCTGTATTTGGAAGTGAGAAGATATTTCCTTGGAATAAGATTCTCTCTTGCTGCCCAATTCAGCAGTCCTGGTAGACTTGTGATGCCACCAGGGAACTGGTGACAACATTATGAAGTACAGAGTTCCTGGTTCAGGAAAGCAAAATTTAAAAAAATTAAACAAGCTATGTGAGTAGAAATTGTACACTGTACCAGAGGGTCCAACTTCATTTTTGGAGTTAACAATGTGAGCGCACCTTGTCAGTTTTGAGCTGGTTGTTCTTTCCTGTCATAAACTAAACATGGCATGGCTGTGGTCTTTGCTGTTGTCTGAAAACACATACAAAAGTAGGGGTAAAGTAACCAGAAAGAAAAAAACAATATTTAGGCCTTCTACAAGACTTTTAAAATTCAATTACTATAATACTTTAAAATTATTTTATAAAATTACTTTTTTTCATGAATGGAAAATGCAGGAATGAAAAGTTAAGACTGTCTGTGTAAGACATTTTGATGAAGGCCAGATGCTTTATAGTCACTGGGATGTTTAATCTGTCCTCACATGCCCTGGATGAGATTTCTAAATGGCATGCTCACACTGTCCTAACTGCAAAGTGGAATTGAAAATGCTGTGCTATTCTGTTTTTCAGATCTGTGTGATTTTTAGGAACATACTTGAAAGTAAGTTTAGTGTAAATGAAACTCTGCAGCATTGGAGGCAGAACTCCCCATGCATGTTGTTCTCCAGAGTAGTTCTGCTTCCTCCATCATTTATTCACAAAAAAAAATTGAAGATGTTTTGTAAAATGGAAAAGTCTTACATTTGTAACTGCAAATCTCAAACGGTGCATCAAACTCTGTCTGAAGAAAGTAGCACAGTAAATATCCCAAGTCTCCCTGAGAGAATAAGTTAATGGCACCAAGTGTAGCGAAACAGAGGTGGGCTGGAAATTACTGCCCTTATTTCAAGTGTGTTCCAATTTTACCTTGGGGCAATTCTGTGGAAGTGTGAGACACAGACACAGTGCTCTACAGGTAATAGCTTAGGGATGAAGGCAATCACCTTCAGTGAAGGAGACTTAGATTCAAGTCTCTAGTCAGTCAGCTACTCTTGTGCCCCCAAAATGCTGAGCAGCAGCTCCATCATAATTCTGGGAAACTCTTCCTAATAAATCCATAGCTGATATTGCTACATCTGGTGAAGTTTTTAATGTGCCACCACCTTTTCTTCCTCCCCTAGACTTTGGTCAAGTTTCCTATCAGTCCTGTTTTGAAATTACCTGAATTACAAGACACCATAATTAGAAAAAGTAAAATCACTTAATAATTTACATTTTTGTTTCCCTTTATGGAAGTATTCTGTTTGACGTTTTGAGCTATATTGTACATGACCTCAATTCATTAAAGCATCAAGTGTTGTTATATCATGGCCATTCAGATCTCATGTAATTGCTTCCCATCTAAAGCAGTGCATGCAAGGTTAATGTCTGGCTGCCAAAACATGTTAGAACTTATGCAGGGGACTTATATCCAGAAATTCCTGAGTTGAAACTGTGTCTGAGCCCTGATTTAATTTTATGAAGTTTTTCACTTTACCTCTTTGACCCATGTTCTTGAACTGATTCTTTAGAAGGAATCTAAAGGCTAATAATTTAACATTTTTGCTAAGGGCTTATATATTATACCATTACTGATAATAATAACGTCTTTATACAGTGTCATGTATCTCCAAACTTCTCATTTTCCTTCAGCGTGCCATCAAAGCCAACCACACTTGCTGTTAAAGCTGTTGAAAATTCAGAATTCAAACAGGCAACCAGCAATGGGATTGCTAAAGAGCTGAAATCCAGCAGCACAGAGCTCATGGTTGAAACTAAAGACAGGGTGCCAGCAAACAAAGAGTCCTTTTATATCACCAGAGAAGCCAAAGAAAGTAAGCAAGGACAGCACCAAGAAACCAACACAGAACATAATGAAGGAAAAAAGGGACCTCAGGTCTTGCAGAAAACTTCAAGCACCATCACACTACAATCTGTCAAACTGCAACCAGAGCCAAAGGCAGAATCCCAGGCCCCTTCCATCAGACAGGGTGAAAACAGGAAAAGGGGTGTGCAACTCTTGATGTCAGCTCAGCAAACTCCACCTCTGACAGGGCACGTCAGTCCCAGGACTAGAGAAGCAGAAAACAGGTCTGGAGCCCGGGGGGCTGTAATGGAGGAGAAGAGGGAGCACCTGGGAATTCCCCCTCAGTTTGAGACCCATCCACAGAGCCTGGAAGCATCAGAAGGCCAAGAGATTAAATTCAAGAGCAAAGGTAAAGGGATGAAAATTATTGGAGGCCCCGGGTTTAGTCAGAAATGGGTTCACTTTCTATGGGTAGAAGTGGAAATCAATTCCTGCTTCTTGGAAAGTTGTTCCAAAGCTCTTCCTAAAGCCTTCTGTAAACAAATGCAGAATCCAATGCTGTTTCCACAACACTTAGAGAAATTTTCAAACCATCCTAAGCCATAGTGTTCATCTTCTGTGTCATCTGGGGTTTCCCCAGATGTAACCAATGCTGCTCCTTCTAGGAGGTAATTTTAGGCCCTCTTATATGAGGGTGCATGAGAGAAAATGGATGATACACTTTCCAGAACTGTATTTAGTGACACTGCCCTTGAGCCAAATATCAGAGGAGAAAATACAATCAGTCACTGCATGTCCCTAGTGGCATCTATTTTTATGTCTCATATTTGGTCAGCCTGATCTGAGTTCTTCCTAACAGCTGAAATGATAAAGTGAGAATTAAAAGGGAGGTTTAGAGTTTGTTCCACAGAATTTGAATGGGTTTTAACCTCTTAGAAGAGTAATGAGAGTTGCATTTTGCTGAATCTGGATAGTAGATTTGGAACACTTCTCTTTTTTTTTAATTGCAATTTTAGAAAATAACCTGGAAACATTTTTCTCCTTTTTTCTTTTTTTTTTTTTAATAATATTTGCACTTTAAAGTGTTTGCATAAAGGAGAGAGAAATTGTTTATTTGTTTCTCTAGAGGCAAAAAAGAAATCACACAACACCATAGTAATTTATTTCATTTCTTGATGAGTCTTGCCCCATGAGTACAGAATATAATTTCTATCACAAGTCCAGAGCATTTGGAGTGGAAAAAAATTTCCAAAGATCCTGGCACATTTTGAACAATTTATTTTTCAGGTATATTATTAAAAACATGAATAGTTTTCTGTCAGAGTATCTCACACACTTTGCAAGCTTTAACTAATTCATGACCCTGTTTGACAGAGGAATAAAGTCCCTATCATAGAGAAACAAGGAGCTCATCCAGTTTTTATTGAAGCCATTGAATGCCTTTGCATTTGGCTTTGGACACAAAGCACAAACTCTGACATGCAAGGCAAGGTGTGTGCAGGGAAATCACAGGCCCAAACACACTTCAGTACATAATCTGAGAAACTCTCCTGAGAATCCTCTCTGCAGATGGTGCCCAGGGTTGCTTTCACTGGCCCTTCCTCCTGCTCATGCAGCATCACCTCAGGCAGGTCCAGGACTGTACCAAGGTGACCTTTGAACATCCCCAGGGTGGGGAAACTCCACAACCTCTCTGGGCCAGTGCTGAGTAAAGAAGGGTTTGTGTTCAGACAGAACCTTCTCTTTTGCAGTTTCATATCCATTTTGTCTGTGACTTTTAGAAGAACAGCTTTTAGACTGAAGCTTTTTTCAGATATGGTTTTACATATTACCAAATATTCGGTATTTTAAGTGATGGAGTGGCCAAGAAGTTTTAGAAGATCAGAAATATTAAACTTTCTGACAACAGTTTTGTGTATTGCCCATTAAGGTTTAGATAATTATGTATGTGTAAAGTGTACCTAATTTATACTAAAGTGAATAATACTAAATGAATAATACTAAATAATTCTAATTATGAATACCTATCTATAAAAATCTAAATGTCTGATTGTCTAGTTTCAGGGAAGCCAAAACCAGATGTGGAGTGGTTCAAAGAAGGTCGACCTATTAAAGCTGGAGAAGATGTTCAAATATATGAGGAAGATGGAATTCATTGCCTATGGATAAAGAAAGCCTACTTGAGGGACAGTGGATCTTACAGCTGCACAGCTGTCAACCCCGAAGGCCAGACTTCCACCAGCTGGTTGTTAACTGTCAGAAGTAAGTTCTTGTGAGCCCATCTACACTTTGGAAACTGTGGCTGGGCTTTTTTAAGCTGTCAGAGGGTTGTTACTACATAATTGTTACTTGACTTCTCAGTGCTGGTTAGTTCTGATTCCTGCCTCTGTGAATAAAGTGGTGTGCGATAGCTGGCAAGCCACTTTCTACATCAGTTTCCCTTCTGACATGTTGTGGTTTTTGTTGTTTGTATAGCTAAAACCATCTCAATATGTGTTTTGTATGCAGGGAGGGCTAGTCTCAACTCAGGTTTCCTATTAATGTTTGTATTTAATACAGACTGTCAGTGGCTTTATTGTTGTACTGCATTTGATTTTTTTGAAGTTGCTTATCATTTCTACACCCCAAATTTGAAAATTTTTTGGATTACAAGCCAATTCCGTGCAGTAAAGTGAATAAGAAGAAAAGGGAAGGAATGACAATTGTGATTTCTAAATTCAAGAACATGTCCCAGTGACAAATTATTTTAAGTTTTCAGCCAGTATCTTACTGGGCTGGTTGCAATTTTTGCTGGGTCTAGAAAATCCTGTCGTCAATTCTAATGTTTTCACCTGGTTTTAAGTTTTGCTCTGGATCTATGTTCATATTCATGCAATTTTTCTCCATTTGCTGTGCCTGACGTTAAACCAGGATACCCAAGATAATTTCTTTTTGTCTCATGAGAGACCTATAAACTGCATCCTTAAGTCACACTATTTCTCACTGGGAGAGAGACTGGGAGAAGACAGACAAGAGGAGAGAATTGTCCATCCTCTTCTTTGTGCTGAGCTCCCTGCTAATACGCTGCATACACTTCTAGTGATCGCCTTCAAATGGTGGATTCTGGCATAGAAAATCACTGCCTAAAACAGAACTTGAGGCCTGGCAATGTTTGTCTTGGAGATGAGAGAAGAATATCTTCTTTATACCAGTCTGCTGCTCAATGATTTCTATCACCCAATAAAACATTTCTATCACCCAATAAAACTTTTCACTGTGGTTAGCCCAGCCATGTCATCTAAGCATACTGCAAAAAAGGCTCTAAGTGTAAAGCTAATTTCATCAATCTCAGTTAAAGGAACTGTTTTCATTTTGGTTTCCAAGGGCCTAAAGTTGAAGAGGTTGCTCCATGCTTTTCCAGTGTCTTGAAAGGATGCACTGTGAGCGAAGGGCAAGACTTTGTGCTGCAGTGCTGCGTGGGAGGGGTCCCTGTGCCCAACATCACATGGCTTCTCAATGGTAAGCAATCTCCTGCTCCACAACACCTGCATGAACGCACCGACACCCCAAAGCGTGCTAAATCACCCTCATACAACCCGCCGGGGCACCTGAGGAAAACCCTTTCCAGGAGCACCAAGTGCGCCAAAGGCTCTGTGAGCAGAGCTGTGCTGCCGCACTTCTGCACGGTGTCCACCAGGGTGCGCTGGTGACACGGCAGTGCCAGGTGAGTTACCTGGGCTGTGCCAGGGGCTGTGCCAGGTGAGTTACCTGAGCTGTGCCAGGTGAGTTACCTGGGCTGTGCCAGGTGAGTTACCTGGGCTGTGCCAGGGGCTGTGCCAGGTGAGTTACCTGGGCTGTGCCAGGGGCTGTGCCAGGTGAGTTACCTGGGCTGTGCCAGGTGAGTTACCTGGGCTGTGCCACATGGCAGTGCCAGGTGAGTTACCTGGGCTGTGCCAAGGGCTGTGCCAGGTGAGTTACCTGTGCTGTGCCAGGTGAGTTATCTGGGCTGTGCCAAGGGCTGTGCCAGGTGAGTTATCTGGGCTGTGCCAGGTGAGTTACCTGGGCTGTGCCAAGGGCTGTGCCAGGTGAGTTACCTGTGCTGTGCCAGGTGAGTTATCTGGGCTGTGCCAAGGGCTATGCCAGGTGAGTTACCTGTGCTGTGCCAGGTGAGTTATCTGGGCTGTGCCAGGTGAGTTACCTGGGCTGTGCCAGGGGCTGTGCCAGGTGAGTTACCTGGGCTGTGCCAGATGAGTTACCTGTGCTGTGCCACACAGCAGTGCCAGGTGAGTTACCTGTGCTGTGCCACACAGCCCCTCGCAGTGCTGTGACATGGCTCTGCTGCTGCCGCCTGTGCTGAATCCTGTGCTGCCCCCATGCCTCTGGCACGAGCTTCTGCTCTGAGCATAATGGTTTAGTATCATGATCCTGCAGAGACAGTACCCTGCCTGATTACACAGCTGAACAGTCAAGTTTACTTAACTTCCTCTTAATATCAGAGTTAGTCCCAAACAGCAGTGTTTTTCTTCAATTCCAAATGATTTCAGAAATCCAGGCACTACGTGCTTTGGCTAAGGACTCTTTCCATTTAGACCCATATCTGTAAAACTCTAGAATAGTTTATTCAGCTTAACTCTTGATCACCTCTTTTACTCCTGAAGTGCAATTGATTTTTATTTTTTTTTCAGACTCTCCCAGGCTATCTGTCTTTGTGTGTGTGGTTATAAACAAAGAGTAGCATACTTTGCCACAAAGATATTTGCTCCAGGATTATTTTAAAATTAATTATTTGTACATGATCTGTGTTGTCCTTTAGCTGTTCAGAGTAAATGGGCTAACTGGAAAAGGTGGCAGGGCAAATGAACCATGACCTTGAGACTGGTATGTTCCCACAGGCTGGGCTGTTCCCCTTCCCAGTAACTCCATGTCTAGAATAGAAAGGCCAGTGCTTTATTTACAACACAAAACATGTGAGTAAAGGTTCTGACACTCTCCCATTGGACATAATTTGTTTTTCTGTCTGAAAATATGTCTATGCTGAAGTTCTCCTTTGCAGATGTGAGTAGAATCTCTGTTTGGCTGTGCAAGAATTGTCGTGCAGCTCAGGAGCATTTCATCCAAGCTTCTAACTGCAATTGGCTCAATATCACAATTTAGGTGGGTTTTTTTTTTTTAGTTAGCTAAAACAAAAAATGGTTTAGTTCAAACCATTAGGGTTCTGTGAGAGTCAGTGCATTAACTCTACTTTTAAATCAAAAGGCAGTGATGAGTCTGCATAACAGAAGCACAAGAAACTCTCATCATAATAAAAATTAGACACTTCATATATTACTCTGAAGACATAAGCATACGACTTTCATTCCAGGCTGCTGAAACATATCACTGTAGTTTAATGCTTTTCTGTCGTGCATAGGATTGTGAGACATAACTGTTTATATATCATTTTGATACAAACGTGAAAGGATTATAAAGAGTTGTTTAAAGTTAATAATTCCATGTACACTCTTGGGGTTATTATTTTACTTAAGGATCACATTGGCTGTTGTGATATCCACTTGAATGCAAACATTTCCTTCCTGTCTACCACCTAGCTAGATATTACAAACTCCTCATATTTATATCCCTGATCAAATAAAGAAGAAAGTTGTGAAATATTACTCCAAGCAGACATAACAGTTCTTTTGGCAAAATGACACGGTGGAGTCTTTTATCAACTGGCCACATAAAGAAAACAGCATATTCACACACATATAGTTGTAGGCAGGCAGACCAATTCTGTTTTTAAAAAGGGTATATTAGCATCTGCTCTCCATGTCTGGAATATAAAGCTTTTTATAGTCACAACTGAACTCTACTAAGACAGAGGAAAAAGCAATATGCTGTGACAATCCCACTACTGTTCAAAATACAGCACTTTTGCAGAACTCCATAGAAATAAAAATCACATGGAACAGGATGTGTAAAGTTCACTAGAAAATATCAAATGCAAATTGTCTTCCAAGCATGACAATGATAACAAACCAGAATTAAGCTGAGCAGAATAGTGAGGAAAGAATGTATATCTTCATGAAATAATCCACTCTGCCTTCCCCAGTCTCCAAGGAATCCACACCACCTGAGAACTGAAAGCTTTGCTACAACTTCTTGTACAATGTTACATCCAAGTACTACTTTAGATACCAAGAATATTTAGATACCAAGAATATTTACCGGCTGTGACTACATACCTATTTAAAACATATCCCAAGCATTACACAAGTTGATCTCTCCTTCAGGTCAAGTGAGACAAAAAATAGATGATGTATGCTCTGCATTGTCTGTAATTCCATCTTACTACCTGTAAGGATGAGTAGTTTTTCCATATTCATAGAGACTGCACAAATAAGAGCTACCTGACTGAACTATGAATTTCATCTGAGCTCTTACTCTTCTCTGCAAATGTACTGTTAAAGCTTTTTTCCGGCTTTTTCAAGGTGGTTCTTTCTCCTTTTGTTCTCCCTCTACATTTTATTTAACTTTATTTTTGAATTTTCACTGATTTACTGGCAACTTCCCTGAAAGGAGAATTCTTGTATTTTAGTTCTGGCCTCCCAAAGCCTTATAAATAAATAAGTTTCTGTGTGCACTCTCAGTGAGAATACTTCAATGTGTAACTCCAATTTAATTTATCTTTTTAAAATACTTTCTAGTTAACTTCTTTTTCAATTGCAGGAATAAGGAGTATATGACCATTTTAAGTAACTTTTTATTGATATTGCTTTCTGTGTGGGTTTCCTTTGTCCCAAAGTTTAATTGAACCTCTTTCTGCTGAATTTAAGAACAAGATGACAATGACTTCAATATAACAACTTTATGAGTAGTGTTTGGTTTTAGGATAGCTTTGTGATTTGTCCAGAGAGCTTTTAATAAATGGGCCAGGGGAAAATGTTCTTTATTCAGGCATAACATGCCAGAAGAAAGGTATTTCTTGTTATTGTTCCTGCTGCCAAGCTGTCCTGGAGATTTCACTGTTCTGCCTCTGGAGAAGGAAACGTTTCACTACTGGGAGAGTTGTTTTTATTACATCAAAATATAAGTACTGTGGATGTAACTTAGAATCTTGCTGCAGGTTTTTCCTAAGGGCTGATATGCTTGTGCTCGTTTTTCTGGGGTCCAGTGAAAAGGCTGTTCTCTAAGTGAATTCACTATTTTTTGAATAATGCTAAGAAATAGCCAGTTATGTTGGGAGCTGAAGTGAAAAAGAGCCCTGGCAAAATTTGAGGACATGGTAAAGGAGTTTGCATTTTGCTTTTCCATGCACAACATTTACCCTATTCATCTGGTTACGTAAAACAGAAATGTAAAGGCATTGTTCTGCTTTTCATGATGCAGCTTTTATCCCAGGGGTGTTTCTGATACGGCGTCGTAGCACCATGTGTCACCACCAACAGCTGCAATGTCAGAACGCCAGGCAAGGACCCTGTCAGGTTAAACATTCTGTAGCTGGACCAGGAAGGCAGTCCCCTGTCCTCCAACAGAAAGCTTTGTCTGCTTGGGCTTTAGCTCTACCTGTACATATTTGAATGTAGTGCTATTCCCACATGCAGAAACGCTGTGGTTTAATGTAATAGTGCCACCAGTCTGTGTGTGACTGAGTGAAAATGAGCTCAGAGGAACCAATAACAGGAATATGTGACCTGTGACAAAGGTTGGAGAGGTTTTATTCTAAAATTTTTCTGGATAGTTCTAGATAGTGAATGTTCACCCCAATTTTTCATACAATAGAAAATTTTCTAACTTAACAGATGGCTTATAAGCAAAGGATGAAGATCATCTACCACATTTTATAATATATGCAAGTATTGGATGATACTGATTTTGGCACATTTGTGTTTCAGAATGAAACTTTGTGTGCATATAGACAGTGCACAGATAGTAACTGCCTTCTGAGTCAGCTTCCTCTGAAAATCAGAGATGAGAGAAAAATCTGTCCCATCATTTAATTTATCCTGCTCATAGTGCAGAACTGGTTCTTAAAAACCCCAGAGCTGTGTCCTTTAAAATTATTTTGGCAATGAAATAAATTTCGATCTTTTTTGACCACAAACTCCCAAGCTATAGACATCTTCAGATCAGTCCTGCACAATTTCTCTGCTGTTTCATCCTCTTCTCTTAGATGACCATGATTTCTATTTCCAGCATGATGTTTATGCACAGGTATAAAGTTGTCTTTAGTATTGCATACACTGGGAAAGCAACCAAAGATGAGTCAGTACTGGAAACTATTTAATATTGGGAAAACAGATTGCAGAAGCATTTTAGAAAGTAAGGCTGAGACTGATGACAGTTCCTGAAACAGGAGCAAGACAACTGTAAGCCATCTATACTTATATTTAAGCATGTCAAACCACTTCAAGGAACCAGTTTCTTAAAATTAACTTCTTTAATAGTCACATCACCGCAGATGAGACTGCACCCTTCTGTTGCTGGCCATACTGTAGTGTAGATTGACTGCTTCTGTAAATCAGCTTCATGGCTCTGTTGCAGATTTTACTGTCTCTCTTGGAATGTTTTCCACTGCGAAGAACACCTTGGAGGACTTCAAGTGCTTCTTCATGCCAGACAGATTTTGCACATCTAGCTTCATCTGCATTTTATCTAGTTTCAGCCAAATTACAAGATGGAGACCACATCTGAAGCAAACACACATTTCTTGTCTTATCCACCTCAAAGAGAATAAAAAATAATCTTTTGTCCTTTTGCTGCTACTCAAGGTAGCAGGCAGTGGATCTGGTGGTGAGCTTTGTCTGACAACCTTGTTGTGCTTTGTGTGCTTGGGATGCTGCTGGTTGTAGTCACTAGAGAGCAGTGGCTGTGCACAGAGTGGGATTTGGCTCTGCACTTCCATAGGCTGGCTGGAGTTAGGTTCAGATTTCACTGAAAACTAAAGTGCTTTTGAAATTTGTCTGACGTATTAAGTCAATTCTCTTCCTTTCTGTCTGCAGACCAGCCAATTCAATATGCCCATTCCACTTTTGAAGATGGAGTTGCAAAACTGACTGTCCAAGATGCCCTACCAGAAGATGATGGAATTTATACCTGTCTGGCTGAAAACAACACAGGACAGGCATCTTGCAGTGCTCAGGTCACAGTCAAAGGTGAATACTACAATCATATAATCTTTTTTAACAATAATAACTTTGGATCCTTAATAGAGGTGGTTGTAAGTGAATTCCACATTTTCTCCAAGCTTTTGTCAGCTGGGTACCTCTTCTCCTCCTTGGAGGTGTGTGCAGCTTAAGTCCTTAAGGAGTGTGCAGTGTAAAGTAATGAGCATATTTCAGGAAAAGGTATTAGCTGTTCTGGAAAGGTTTACCAGTGTAAGAAAGACTTGGACTGCGAAAAAAAAAACAAACTAACTGGAGTATCACCAATATCACCCATGAGAGAATGTTACAGGGAGGAGGCAGATGTTACTCCTTGCTCCTGAAAGGCAGAGCAGAGACCAACGCCAGGGACTGCAGTTATGATAGCAAATTCCAATATGCTTCTTCTGTTACCAGGATTTATCAGATTCAATTCTGAACAGGCATCTATCAGCTAACAGGGGACTGTGTATAAGAATTATATCTAAATATTTGGAATTTTGGTAGTGAAGGTACCAGAAGAACATTGTAGTAAGCAGTGAAGGTGATCTGTTGGCTCAGAAATCTGACAGAGTGCTGATTTGACAGAATTGATTTGTTCATGAAAGCCATAATTCTGTACTAGAATCTCAACAAACACATTCTAATAGACCAGAGTTCAAAATGAAGACAAGAGAAGATAGAATTCATGGATAAATTTGACAGTGAGGTAGTATCCATCAATATCATGGTCTTTATTCTTTCTATATCCTCTGACATCAATTCTGTACAGGAGTTTTGTTTCATGGCCTGGAGATTATCCCCTCCTGCCTCCCTTCAATCCCCTTCCCTCAGACCCTCCCTCCCTCTACAATCAAGCCTATATTTGGTATTTTTCACCCACAAATTAATTTTCCCCAAAGTTAGAATAGCTTGTCACTGCCTGTCCAACAGACTGCCAAGGGAACTGTTCCTTTTGTTTATCACTAAATAATACCTGCCCTAAATTTGTGCATTCAGTTTGGTGGAAAATGCACTCTGACCCCTGGGATCTCAAGATTAGTCTTTGTTTACCAGTGTTCTGGGGTGTTTGTCTACAGCTCTTTAGTGCTATGCCTGCTCCTATTCTGTCTGTATGACAAGGCTAAAGTAAAAACAAAGTAATTCTGCTAAACCTATGAGCTAATTTCTTGATCATCAAATTGAAAATACAGTCATCCCTCTCTACCCTCCCGCCTTTGAAAATGGCACAAAGTAAGAAAACATCAATTTAAAATATGCCTGAAATTAATCTCTTCTCAAAGTTATCATTTACTATTTCTCTGAAGCATTTCAGCTGCATTAGCCAAGGGTCAGTGAAGAATGGTCCGCCTCAAGGGATCTGTTTTTGACCTGGGGCTTTCTGATCCTTGCCTGGGACTCAGAAACCAAAGGGACAGTCCCCTTTTACTGAGCTTTTCTGAGTTATTTTAGGGCTGACAGGCAATGCTAATGTGGGAGTAGTAGTGAGTGAGCCTTTCCCTGGGCTTGTGTGCTCTGCTGAGCTATCTCAGGCCACGTAGTCACTGTTGCACTGTGTTGAATTCCTCTTGCACTTTACACAAGCTGGGGGTAGAAAGCTGCTTTGCTGTCATCATGGCGAGTTAGTTTCTCTCATCTGCATCTCATTCTATTTTCTAGGAGTTGTGGAATAGGGAGGGGGAAGAATAAGAGTAGAATCAAGAACATACATGACAGGCTGTGAAAATACATGTTCAATATTTTTAGAGTTTTAGCTATCCTGTCTTCTTCTCTAAAATTCATTATGTCCCTCTTGCCATGAGGATTACAGTAACTTTCCCCAAAACTCAGATCAATGTATTTTTCTGCCAAAAATAATATCAAACTTAAAATCTAATTTCCAAATCTCTTATCTGTTTATGTATGATTTTCCATCAGAATCTCTATCAAAAGCTTATTGGCATGAGTTCCCTGAGTCTCTGAATGCTGCTACTAAGGCTTCTCTAAATGCTCAGCCTGTGCAAACAGATTACAATAGAAAATGGTTGTATGTGCAGAAAGGGAGAAAACTTCCAAAATCCTCTCCTGATCAAACACTAATTTTTGGAATAAAGTCTGTGAAATCGTTTCTGAGTTGCAACCCATTTTATCCAGGTCCTTTTAGTCTCCAAGGTGATTTAAGGATGTCAGGTTTCCTGCAATGCTCAGTTTGTTCATTCATTGTTAGAGAAATATTTTCCCTTTCTATGTGAGAAGTAAGCCATATTTAATCTAAGAAGGAATGGATGTTCTTGGCATATCATCAGTATCAGACCAGTGTCAGAATTCAGCTTTTCCTTAACTTGTGGTCCTTGGACACATCTCTGTCTGGGTCTAGATTTCACTTCATACTGCTATTTTTGGCTTTGCTCTCTATCCTACTGCAGGAACGATCTCATGAAGGGACTGATCTACTCTGATCACTGGGGAAATTTTGCCTGAGGTGAATAGCCTCTCTTAACACTAAAGCTCAATTTTGTCTTTGTAAATGAAATTCAGTTCACAGATAACTCAGAAAAGTTAGCAGCAAGCATAGTGAGCATCAGACTCTTCAATTCATGTTTGAATTGTAGTACAAGATGATCCTTAACCTGCTAGTAGGTTACAGGTATTATCTAGCCACATACCATGTTTTCTAATAAACTTCTGTGCATTCTTTGCCTTTTCAATGGTCTATTTCTTTGTTTTTGTGAAAGGAAATTACTGTAGGAAACATTTTAAAGGTCCTTTGCCCAATAAAGGGTTACTCTTCCAAGTCCAGTTAAATAGAGGAATGGGATTTTTTCCAATAGTTTCAGCATGATTTGCACTGGGCCCTGGATAATTAGCTAAGCTAATTGTGGCATAACTTTCCTTCTAAGTCATCAGTCTCAGATTCGTTTATGGTTGTCTTTTTCTTCCTTACTGTTAAGCAGGATAAATTCTGTCTAGCACTGGACAACCTCCTTTGTTTTGTATGGAAAACAGCGAAGGCACTTAGTTGTTTGTAGGAGGCTTTTGGCACTGTGTGAAAAAAAGCCCCCCCATTTCATATGGATGGGATTCATATAGAAATGGAATTGTCTTAAAAAATTCAAATTCATCAGTCTTCTGCTTATTTAAAGTGAGAAATTACCACATTCAAATCACTTCAGATCTCTCTACTTAAGTAAGTGATCTGAAGGCTGAGCAAATTGGTGTAGATCCATTGGGTAGTCTCTGGAGAAACTAAGTTAATCAAGGTGAAGCCAATTTTGGCCTTGTAAAGGACTAAGTAGACGAGGCTCAACCCTCTGGCAGCAGTTTCTCAAAGCTGACACACAGGTAGAGATGAACTACAGAGACTGAGCAGTGCTCCCTGGAAAAAACAGTTTAACAAATGTCTTCACCATGAGAATTATTTCTAACTGAACCTCCAGTGAGTGGGTAAATGTTAGATCAATTGGCCTTATGCATGTAAGCCTGAGAGGTGAGAAACATGGTCCAGTGTTATTCAAACACTCAATTATAGATATTCCTGAAATGGTACCATATGCTACTAAATGTAGGATTATTTTTTTCTCATGCATTGTTTTCTACATACAGGAAAATCAGAATTTGGGAGGCTTTGGGGCTGATGCACATTTTATTTCTAAAGTTTTTGCACAACATGTGCAAAAAAACATGACTGATCTGTTCCTGTTACGTGCAAGCTGTTGCATTTTTTGTGCAAATTTTCACATTTCATAGTACGATTTTCTTATTGTTCTATGATATGAAAATAAGTATACAAGCCTGTCCTGGTTTATCACCCCAGGACAAAGCCATTTTTGGCATTTCCACACCAGGCATCCTACTTTAAAAACACACAAACCAACTAGCTCTTTACAGGGATATTCAGGGTACATTCAGGTCACCTGAGATATATGGTGATTATATACTGATGGGAATTGCAGATACACAGGTTTATTTATGAATTTATGAACCAGACTATGAATAAATTATTAAGTTATTTAGTATGAATTAATGACTCTTTTTATCAGGGTGGTTGAATATTTTAATCAGGTCTTTTATGAATAGGAAACTGAGTTGAGGAAAAGTTAATTGCCTCTGGATGTACATGTGTAGTGAGTTGGTGTTACTGTTTTGCTGAGGCTGTGACAATCAGAGTATAAAAGCAAGACAGATGGAGGTAATAACTGGTATAGTTGGAAGGTAATGCCAGCTCCCAGGAGTGGTGAGAGCCCTTCAGGTCTGCCTCATTCCTGAGATAAGCCTTCTGGTATGTGGTTGTCAGTTAACTAATCACTGACAAGGAGTTATAGGTCAGATCCACCTGTAGAAAAAATGTGTCAGAGAGATTTTAATTACCTGACATTCACACCAATACCTGAGTGTGCTACACATGATTATGGACTGCAGGGAGAGGGTTAAAAGTGTGGGCTCTGTTGTGCTGAACCACATCAATACTGCATGTGGGAAGCTTCTCTTATTTTGCAAGTAGACTCTGCATGTCAGAGTGGTAGGTGATTGCCTCGTTCAGCTTTCTCTAAGTATGGTATCAAGCTAGAGCACTTGCTGTGGCTCTTAGGACAATGTCCTCTGTCTTGGAGTTCTGCAAGCAAGTTTGTTTGATGACAAACAAAATACCTGACCCACTGCACACTCCTTGAGATTTCTCCAGCCTCCCTGCACCAGGCAGCATCACTGGTTGTTTCTAAAATGGAGCACATGAGGTGTGGGCAGTGAGAGCAGCAGGGCAGGCTGGCAGACACGGTGTTTCTGTGGGCTCTCATGCTCTGCAGACATTTACTGATGTTTGTTTTCTGCACACTGCTGGATTTTTGTTTGTTTCTTTTTTAATACAGGCCTAATACTCTTTGTAAGCAAGCACCATTCAGGAGATAGTGCTGCTCCTGTTTATTGGCTCCTGACCTCATTTCTCTTTCCCTGCCAACAGTGCATTTGCCTGGACTCACATCTGTTCCTCTTTCTCCCCCACCACTCTGTTCATGGCTTTTTTTTCCCAGTGCAGC